GATCATGGAGCAAGAAGCATACGACTTATCTTATGTAGCTTAGCCTCCGAGCTTCCTTTGTCACTGAAGTGGCCAGCGGCAAGAGATATCACCCTGCTCACGATGTCGCGAACAACGGTGGAGAAGATGGCCTCCTCCAACATAAAATTCTACCAGCGGGTCTTGGACGTCTGTTTCGGGATAAATTCTGTGGATGTATATATCATGTATGTGGTCACAGGTCACCATGTTTGACAGATTCTAAAGTTTCATTGAGACCAAAAGTCAAGGTGAGCACTAACAGTTTGTGAAGTGGAGCGATGGCAACATAGCGACTCATGATTTAAGGTGATTCCTTCCACACGACTTTGGATGATCTGGATGAGCTGCCAGCGCCTAGTGGTCATGTAAGTCGTATTCATGCTCGAGCAGTCTCTTCTCGGCTGCTATTTCCAAGCACATATTGTGACTTCTTTTCTGAATTTGCAACTTTGTGTTGTTACAATTGCAGACGTCCATTTAGGCACTTTTTTCCTTCTGTGTGTGCAGAAGTCTCGGTATGATGTTGATAGAACTGCAAAAGTCTAGTCGTCTGAGACTAATTGGCCATCTGCCTGGTCAGTGCATGTCAATATATTTTCGACAAAATTTTCCATGGCTGAGGATTGATGGCTGAAAGTCTGAAGTCTTGGTCCAAGTAAACTGACCATGTGTGCCAAGTTGGACTTGTATTCCTTGTGCGTCCCTGGCTATAATTAGTACGCGAAGCTACTGAAAGAATGTTAAAACCCTCACCATTCTTCTCTCAAGGTCTATCGATTACAGCCCAACAGTAGTTTATGTGCGCACAGACAGCAGAGAAAAAAGCTTATTATATTAGCAAATATGGGTAGTTGCTTCCCATGGGGATCAGTGTCTTTGATACTGTTTCTGTTGTTACAGTCCATGCTTCACTTGTCCTCTGCAGGTTGCTTCGTGGAGGAGAGAGCTGCTCTACTGGACATCCAGTCTTCTCTGATAAGAGCTCGCTCGCTGGTTGCGCTTGATTCATGGGCGGATGATGGTGATGATTGCTGCTCATGGGAGCGTGTGAAATGCAACAATAGCACACATCGTGTGTCTCATCTCAACCTTTCCTCTGTATATGTCACGACAGAAGCAGAGGGCGATCCTTATTTTGGGAGAACAGACGGTGGTCCTTTTTTTCAGAGAACAGAACGTGATCCTTGGTATTTTAACGGAACAGTGTTATCTGCATTCCATGAGCTTGAGTACCTCGACCTATCATACAACCATCCCTGTTTGCTAAGCTTGGAGGGTACGTATTTGCTCGAAATTCTCTTAAATACGTGTGTTGTAGCTTCTTATTCTCATAGTGCTACAAACAAAAATACTTGCAGGGTTGGTTGGACTATCCAAGCTTCGATATCTCGACCTCAGTGACACTACACGGGGAGGGGGGTTCCCAGAATTTATCGAACATGTTGCTTTGCTGGAAGTCTTAGCTCTCAACTATAACAAAATGAACAGAATTCCTCCAGCCGCAGGTAATACAAAATTTTACTGCTTGAAGTAGGAGTACCACTATATATAGAGATTGTCATTCCATATCCCTAATCATCACATATTCCTACACACTTTGCAGTTGTTAAAAATCTTAGGAACTTGCGACAATTGAATATGTCTTGGAATAGCTTCGACGGAAACCTCCCAGAATCGCTGTTTTCCCTTCCTCGCCTAAAGATCCTAGATCTATCAGGAAATAACTTCGGTGGGCATATTCCAATTAGTTCATCCTCGGGACCAATTGCACTTGAAGTGTTAGATCTCAGCATTAATTTCCTCAGTGGAACTCTCCCGGTTACAGGTAAGAAACAAGAAGTTCTTACCTATATTTGAAAAGGACTTCATGTTTATACTTAAGTTTGTGCCACCTGTAATCCTTATACTGCATGCATGCATTGCAGCCTTTAAAAACATCAGGAACTTGAATTTGCGTGACAACCAATTCAGCGGATCTCTTCCTTTGTCATTATTCGCACTTCCTCATCTGAAGTTCATAGATCTGTCCTTCAACAATTTTGAAGGACGTTTTCCTATTAATTTGACTTCAGAACCAGTTCCACTTGAAGTCTTAAAGCTTGACTCTAATTACATGAGTGGAGCTCTTCCGAGTGAACGAGGTAACCTTGCCACTTATATCACCAAAAGTAATATAAGCATTTCTAAGAGTACTCTTGCCACTTACATGAGCATTTCCCACTTATATCACTAAAAGTAATCTTGCCATGATTTCTAATAGTCACATGGTTTTTCCTATGTTTGCAGCATTTCAAAATCTCCAGAACCTACGAGAGTTGTCTTTGAGTTTCAACCAATTCAGCGGAAACATTCCAACATTCTTGTTTTTGCTTCCACATATTGAACGGTTGGATCTCTCATCAAACTTATTCAGAGGACCAATTCCGATAAATCCGTCTTCGAATCTTTCGTTGTCACTGAAGAGTCTTCGGTTCTACCAAAACAATTTGACTGGTAGGATTTCTTTCATTTGGCTTGGAAACCTCAGAAAACTAGAAGAGATAGACCTTTCAGGCAACGCTAACCTAGCTGTTGACGTTAATATTCCTGGATGGACACCACCATTCCAATTGAAACAGTTAGCGCTTTCTGGTTGTGACCTTGATAAGAACATTATTGCGGAACCACATTTTTTACGCACACAGCGTCGTTTAGAGGTGCTTCATTTGTCCGACAATAACTTGTCAGGCAGCATGCCAAATTGGTTGTTCACAGAGGAAGCAACACTACATGAACTACATCTGGGAAATAACTCGCTAACTGGATCAATAGACCCAATATGGCATACACAACCGTTTCTGCAGAGTATCGACATACACATGAACCATGTCACAGGACAGCTGCCGGCCAACATCAGCTCACTATTTCCAAGATTGCTTGTTCTCGATATTTCTAATAACAACATTGTTGGGCACATACCAACGTCATTGTGCGAGATCGACTTCATGGAAATTTTAGACCTATCAAACAACAAGCTTTCTGGGGAAGTTCCAGCTTGTGTGTTCACTAATTATTCCTTGCTAATGACGTTGAAGCTCTCAAACAACAAGCTTGGTGGTCAGGTTTTTGGTGGGTTAAACAGTCTGTCCAACAATATAAAGGAATTGTACCTGGATAACAACAAATTCGACGGTACAATACCTCATAATCTGTCAGGAGGATGTCTAAAGTTCATGAATTTGCATGATAACGAGCTCTCTGGCAAACTTGATACTTCATTTTGGAAACTGCCTTCTTTGGTAATTCTGAATCTTTCTGGCAACCGCATGACCGGCAAAATTGATCCACATATTTGTGGCTTCACTCAAATTGGATTTCTAGATCTATCGAGAAATAAGCTTACAGGGTCTGTACCAAACTGTAGCTTCGTAGCACTGAATTTTCTTAATCTGTCTGGGAACTCCTTAACTGGTGATATCTCTTTCAACGCACCGAGCCTGATTGCTTTGGATATCAGAAACAATCAGTTCACAGGCAACCTACACTGGGTACGATATCTTGATAACATTAGGATACTTTCCTTGCGAAGAAATAAATTTGAAGGGCAGATTACTCCAAACCTGTGCAAACTCTTGTACTTGAGAGTAATTGATTTGTCATATAACAAGCTTTCAGGGTCGTTACCAGCATGCATTGGTAATATCTCTTCCAATGGTGACACATATGATCAAATGTTTGACTCTGCCAATTGGACAAAGGACCCCTACAATTCTTTCCATGGCTTCGAATTCACCTTCTCTACCAAAGGGAATCCCTACACATACGGTCGCGGTTTCTTAGTTTCAATGTCTGGCATCGACCTATCTGCAAACATGTTGGGCGGAGAAATTCCCTGGGAGCTAGGGAATCTGAGGCATATCAAATCCCTTAATCTGTCCAACAATTTCTTCGTTGGCTCTATCCCGACTACCTTTGGCGGCATGGAGGAGATAGAAAGCTTGGACCTCTCCCACAATAAGTTGAGTGGACCAATACCTTTGCAGTTAACCCAGTTATCTTCTTTGGGTGTGTTCTCTGTGGCATACAACAACTTGTCAGGATGCATACCAAACTCTGGTCAGCTTGGCTCATTCGGCATGGACAGCTACCTAGCTAACACCAACCTTCACCAGATTACACAGGGAAACATGTGTGTTGCGCCCGATCCTGTGGCACATGAAGATGTGGGAGAGACGCCTATTGACCCAGCCCTGTATGCTGTGATGGCTGCTTCATTCGTATTGGGATTTTGGGCCATTGTTGCTTTCTCATTTTGCCATCCGTACGGGAGGTCTGTAATTCTCAAGCTGTACTCTGTCCCAAGGAAAAATTGCTAGTCGTGTATCATGTATGTACTTTATGTGCAAGTATACATCCTGGAACCTCATAAAATTTCATTCTAGTTATGTAATATAAGCAATGGATTTTGTGTGGTTATATATTGTATGCATAATTTCCAAATTCTGTATTTTCCAGATATCTGTAAAACCCTATTGTAATTTTTCTTATGCAGTTTGTATCAGAGTGTACTTGATTAGTACAGACTAGCAGTGAGAAAATTAGCAGTAAAGAGCGTCCTTGCACTTCTCACATGAAGTCAGAACTATCTGCTAACACGCAGGCTCTTTACATATACAGCAAATGCTGGAGCCTGGAGGCTCATCCTAAAGTTTTTTATCTGCAGGTAATTATATAAGGTGGTATAGCTTTTACAAGAAACAGTAATACGAAGTTTAATTGTACCTTGTGCTGAAACCCCTTCTGTGAAGTACTACTCCCTCCCATCCATAATATGTGTTGTGGTTTTGGGTTCAAACTGATCCTGATGAACAGGTGCTTACAGTTGTTATTATTGTTTCTTGTAAAAGCCATCACACTTATTATGGATCGGAGGCAGCTTTTACAAGGAACAATAATAACAACTGTAAGCACCTGTTCATCTGGATCAATAATTGTATCAGTCTTCAGCCTAATACACATACATCTTTTTTACTTAGACAGGTAGGCCACCAAATCACGGCAAGTATATTCATTTTTCTGTGCGGGAATGCAAATCTATTCATTATGTGCCCTAAAAAACTACTTCCTCCGTCCCATAATATAAGAACGTTTTTTACACTTAGCATTATTTGACTTCTTTCACAACATGTAGTGCTATGTCCTGTGGCTATTTTGGAAGCCATTTTTTTATGTAGGACTGTGATTTCTCTTTACAAAGTATCCGGTTAATGTTCTCGGTTCTAACCTTAATTTCTAGTTTTTGTTCATAATAATAGGCCATGGAGACTGTTGCATTGCACACCGGATATTTTCTGGTATCCTGAGATCAGATGTCATTGTCATCTGCACAAACTGTGGTATCTCATCCACAAGTTTTGGATACTGGATATAGCAATTATCTTGGTGCTACATGTACGCAGTTGAGAGAGATACGTACCTGGCGTAAATTCCAAGGTATCAACACCCATGAGATGTTTAGAGCGGTTTACCAGGGAGCCGAGGCTACATGCTGAACGGAGATTAACTGTGAAGGAAGGCAGAGTAATGTCCTGATTTCGTGTGGCTACATGTTGAGAGGGAGTAATGTTGCAAGGAAAGGCAAAGAGCCCCTGAAGCAAATGTCCATTCGCCAGAAGTGTCCTGCTTCTCTGTGAAGAAATTTGAGCATTCCTCAGTTCATAAGATGCCAAGGAAGGTTAGATTGCTCTCTGCAGTTCCCTTCTACTTTGGACATGGCACATTTTTTAACTGTCATCCTCTGTTCTCAGAAGTAGGTTTGATATGAGAACTGCATATTTCCAACAGAATCGTGTGATTCGGATGCAGTTTCTGAATTGCCTTACGAATTCAAAATGTTTGCCTAGTGGTAAACTAGATGCTACTATTACGTGACACATCTCAATTTTAATGTTCACTGATACAGATGTGATGGTGCAGGGTAACCAGAGTTGACGAGCATACTGTCAGAAGTTCTCAGGCTTATATGCTTCTCTATGTGAAGCTATCAAACAACAAGTTTGGTGGTGTGGTTTTTGGTGGGATGACCAATCTGGCCCAATATGTTGGAATTGCACATGTATGGTAAAAAAAGTGAACCTCGTGAAGCTTGTAAAGATCTGTAGGGTGTTTGACTTGCACTATAACGAGCTGTCTGACAAACTCAATATGTCTTTGGTGGGATCAGCGTTGTTTGCCTCATTTGGTACCTGAATCAAGCTAGCACTATATAACCAGCAAAACCACCCGCAGATCTGCAATCTCACAGGACTTGAACTTAAACTTCTAGATCTATGGACCAACAACTTTATAGCACATTAACTGTAGCTTTTTGTTGCTTAATTTTCTTAACCTGCCATCTAGGAATTCCATATCTGGTTGTGCGAAGCATATATGTGCTCTATGCCGAAGCACAACTGTGCCTTTATGGCGAAGTACAACTGTGCCTTTAAACCGCCTGCTTAGTTTTTTCTTTTCTTTTGAGTTTACCTGCCTGTTTAGGTTTTTTATATTGGAGGGAAACCGAGAGTAACTAGCTAACGAGCGCTCCTTCAGGAGCCTGGCAACGATTAGCGCCACTTGGTGCGCTCTCAGTCATTCGCCACGTGTCGCGCTCTGGACGCTCCCTCCGGATTTTATTTTATTTTATTTTATTTTCCGCATGCGTTTTTGGCTTTTTAAACGATATTTTTTCCGGGTTTTTTCTCGATGTTTTGGCTTTCCACCGGTTTTAGTTTTTCGAACAAAAAAAATTGAAAAAAAAATTGCATGAAAAAACGTGTTTTTCTTCCTTTCGCGAGAGTCATGGTTTTGCTTCCATGAGAGACACGGTTTTACTTTCGCGAGAGTCACGGCCATGCCTCTTAGAAACGAAAAAAACACGTTTTTAGTTTTTTTCCTTTCATGAGAGACACGGTTTTGCTTCCGCGAGAGTCACGGCCGTGCCTCTCGGAAACGAAAAAAACGCGTTTTCTGTTTTTTTTTCTTTCGCGAGAGTCAAGGTTGTGCTTTAGCGAGAGCCACGGCCATGCCTCTCGAAAACGGAAGAAAACGCGTTTTCTGTTTCTTTTCTTTCGCGAGAGTCACGTTTTGCTTCCGTGAGAGGCACGGTTGTGCTTTCGCGAGAGTCACGGCTGTGCCTCTCGAAAATGAAAAAAAATACGTTTTCTATTTTTTTTCCTTTTGTGAGAGTCACGATTTTGCTTCCGCGAGAGGCATGGTTGTGCTTTCGCGAGAGTCACGGCCGTGTCTCCTCGGAAACAAAAAAAACATGTGTTCTCTTCTTTTTTCCTTCGGGGAGAGTCACGGTTTTGCTTCCGCGAGAGGTACGGTTGTGATTTTATGAGAGGCATGGGTGTGCCTCTTTCGGAAAGGGAAAAAACCCGTGCTCCTGGTTCGTTTTTTTCGTCCGATTTTCTCGTGAAAAAAAGTTCGTCAAAATCTATCAACATGGAATCTGGTTTTGGAAGATCTCGATGCGAGGAATCCAACGGTAAAAGCGGTTTGAGATTTGAACGCACGGTGTGAGAGATAAAACATTTTCAATAAATGAATCTACGAAAAAAGGGAAAACTCCCAGGTTGTGACAAGTGGCGCTCTGCATGCGCATCACTTGTCGCAACCTGGGGAATTGAAGTGATTTTTCAACGAGTACTTCTCAACTAGATATTTCGAGAAAACCCCCCTATTTACTTGTTTAGGTGCTGCTAGAAAAAACAAAAGCAAAGAGTTCGGTTATATGTGTCGAGGCAGCGCTACAGCTGCTTGGTTAGTACTCCCTCTGTTTCTAAATATTTGTCTTTTTAGAGATTTCAAATGGACTACCACATACGGATGTATATAGACATATTTTAGATTGTAGATTCATTCATTTTGTTTCGTATGTAGTCACTTGTTGAAATCTCTAGAAAGACAAATATTTAGGAACGGAGGGAGTACAAGATAAGCGAGCGAGGATCCCTAAAAAAACAAGATAAGCGAGCGATGTCTCAAAAAAAAAAAACAAGATAAGCGAGCGGCTTAGCAAAAATCAGAGGGTGGGGACCTAGTGGCGGAACCAGCCCAATAGTACGATTTGCCCGTAGCTGGCCCGGGGGAGGTGAGTTAGCGGCCCTGTACTGACACGGCGGGCGAGGAGACCAGCAGCGAACGACGGAAAATCCGGGACTTCCTATTTGCCGTTAGTTGCGGCAAAGTGTTGATGTTTCGCACAGGACGCCGCTAACCTGGGCCGGCCCATTTACATTGGCACGATCGCGATATGAAAAACACACACAAAAAAAGAGGGCGCTTGAGCTGCGGATCGATGCTGGGACCTCGTGGTGAATGGTGCGCCATGCCAACCACTACGACAGTGGACTTTTAATAGGAAAAAGTCTATTTTAAACCCTGAACTCGTAGAGGTTTGGCGAAATGAACTCTCAAGTCAAAATCCCGGTCGATTGCACCCTGAACTACGCAATCCCGGTCTAAATCGAACCTTGACATCGTTTGAGGCATAAAAACGCTGACATAGCAGGGATTCGTATGGCTCGTGGGCCAAGCAGCGGTAATATTAACTATGGCGCGAACTGGGCCGGCCCATCGTATATTCTTTTGACGTTTTTCTGCAAAAACTTTCAAAAAATGTGCATCGTGATGTTTCGAATATTGACTACGGCGCTCACTGTGCCGGGCCATCGTATTTTTTTTTGCGTTTTTCTGCAAAAACTTTCAAAAAATGTGCGTCGTGATGTTCAAACACCACACCTCACAGGCAATGTGCGAACGCGCTAGCCATCCGGGACAAGACCCGCTTTGTGATAGTTTACTTCTTTTATTTTATTTAAATACTAATGATTATGATTTGTGCTAGATTCCAGCTTGTTTTTTTGGCCGGTTTTCTTCTATTTTTCTTCTATTTTCAATTTCGTGAACTTTTCTTGAGTTTATGAACTTTTTCCGTTTTCGTGAACTTTTTTTCGAATCTTTTGAATTCGTGAACTTTTTTCAAATTCAATGAACCTGTTTTCAAAATGATGAAATTTTGTACTAAAACAATTGTTAAATAGCACTGTTTTCGGATTGTAATCAGCAAAGTATTCTCAGTCCATTGGTTTTTTTGCATCAAGTCTTAAGCTGTCGGAGCTTTGGTAGAATCCCAGCCAACCCATTTGTATTTTTTCGTCTGTTAAAAATGTCTTTTCTTTTGTTACACTGCTAAAAAAAAAGGTGCACACATAAGGTGTTTTGAACTCGCAACCCCCCTTGTTGGTGCAAAAACTGTCTACCAAGCACGCCGCCTCACCTCTTGTGAATATTTTATCCCAATTTCTTAGTTTTTTCTGTTTTTATCTAACGC